TGATCATACATTAAAAAATGCCTTCTTCATCACAACAATACTTCTAACTCCTCCAGAAATTAAACAGATTGCCAAAATAACATATGGAAATTGAGAAACTAAATATGGGCAACATAAAATTGGTAAAACTGTCATATGTTTATAACTTCACCAGCATATGCTAATAAACTCTTACTCCTCCGAAATAAACATCAACAAGGAGAAAATCTCACAAAATAATCGCGGTCGGCACATTGTCCATACATACGAACCACAAATCAATACCGAAACACACATTACAAAACACTAATTCCCATACAAAATCACACCCAATACACCCACTCCGAACTGTTCAACAAAAAAAAAAAAACAGATTACAATAACACAACCCCACCGACACACCGCCTACACATACCATCAACTATTCGATATCGAAAGACACTTTACAAAGAACAAATCCCCCGCAAATAACACCAAAAATCATTCCGGAACCCCTACACAAAATGACGAAACGACAATGCGAGAAACAAAATTAATGAAGCATACAAATACAACCTAAAACCACAACAAACATCATAACACACAAATAGTCCAACAAACACACCCAAACACCATCAACAAATCAATCGCAAATAGAATACACAACACTGAAATCAACTGAACCTTAAAAACAACGTCAATCGCATAAAAACTCTAACGATCAAACCGCAACACGCAAAACACCACACCCAAAAATGAACCCCCACAACCCCCACAACAGCGTTCTCAACACGAACACCACTTGGGAAACATCCTACACTTCCATATGAGTCCACACCACCCCCCTCCGCCTCGAAATTCCCTCATAATAAATAGTAATGTTACAGTATATCCTTAAAAACAATCACTAGAAAAACATTAGAACAAAACATAAAATGGGCAAAATGGTAACCTTATATACAATAAATTAAAAAAATATATTATACCAAAAAAAAAAAAGGACTAAATGGTTTAATAAAAAACACTCAGGACTAACTAGTGTAACATTAACCAAAGTGGGATTTATGAGTAATTTTTCTATTATTTTATATTTTAAACAATAACATCAATTTTATTGACTTGATTTTATTAATATAAGAGATACATATTACTTATTTTTTTAACTTTAAAAATAAAATGGTATGTATTTTTTTTTTTTTATAAATAATGGTAGAGAACCAAAAACTTCACCCGTAAATTTATTCATAATGACATGGTACGGATTGGGTCTTAGTTAATTGATTTATAAACAATCAATTGACATGTAATGTTCAGTGTTATTGAGTGTAAATTTAAGAATTTTAAGCATTTTTTACTTCAATTTGTAATGTACCAAAATTAACTCAATATTTTCTATGCATACAAAATGGTCCCTCTCGGACAAATTTCTTGGTTCTGTCCATATGCACCAAGGGCATATGTTAATAAAATATTAAATAAATATATTTATATCAATTTGTATAGAAAATAACATAACTTTAAAAGTTGTCTTAATTATTATTTTGTATATATTTATAATAAGACCAAAATACCCTTTTGGCTTTGCACCCTTTTCCTCCTTTCTTTTTTATTGAGTTTTTTTAATAGGAGATTTTTTTTTAAAGTCCCTACTATTAAGATTTTATAGCATAAAGGACACCTAATATTTTCATAATGTCTAAGGTCTCTCAACATCGATCCAGAGAAAATTCAATCCAGAAAATTTCTCTAGACTTTCCAGAGAATTTCTCAAAGAAAATTTACACAGTGGCCAAAATCCCAGACAATTTCTTTGGACAGAAATTCTCTCCAAAGAAAATGAGTTGGCCAAAAAGTGACTTTGAGTCCCAATTCTACAAAGGAAGAAAAAGGAAAAAAAAAAAAGAGAGAGAAAGAAAGAAAGAAAAAGAAAAGAAAGAAATGACATACTCAAGAAGCTAAATAAGCCTCCCATAAAAGTCTATTCTTTTCCATCTCATTCATCAACTCCATATTTGAATTAACACTTGATTTCTTGTGTAATCCAGCTTTAGCAATGCTGCTCAACCATACTTGATTATCATCATCATCATCATCATTATCATCAGTCCAATCTTGATCCAGTTCCTAGAGAATTTCTCTAGACTTCCTAGAGAAATTATCTCAAAACTAAAGAAATTCTGGAATTCCCAAAGAATTTCTCTAGGTTCCAGAAAAATTAGAATTTCTCTGGACTTTTTAGAGAAATTACGCCAAAGATGCATTGTCGCTGCCATCCTTGATTACACACATACAAAGAGAGACAGACAGATAGAGAGCTTGAATTAGATCCATGTTCGTTAGATTACGAAAACAAAGAGAGTTGATGGAAATTACAAATGCATTAGGAGTAAATTTGCATAAACAAACATAATTCAGATTCAATATGACCAAATTTGAGAGGAAAATTTCACATAAACAAAACAGAGTAAGAACCAATTCCCATGCAGTCGCATAAATTACAGTGAATATGAGCTAAACACAAGTTACATAAAAACACACAATTCACAGATGAAGAAATTGAAAACCAAGTTAAATTATGAGAAGTAAATAAAAAGGAAAACAAAATTTGAATCACCATATCTGTCCGAGGGAGGCTTTCCGAGCTAGAAGCTAGTGAGAGTAGAACATTTTAATTTTCTCTATGTTGTTCAATTTTCTCTGGTTTGAATTTAGAGAAATTTGAATTTTCTCTAGTTTGAACCCAGATAAATTCTTGATGTCTACAATTCAGTCTACATTTCAAGAGATTAAAATGTAGAAAAGGGACTCCATAGATAGCTACAGTGAAGAAAAGCTTCAATTTTCAAAATTAAAATAGAAGATAACAAAGAAAGATTCAACAATCCAATTCAAAGGGATTCAACAATCAACAAAGCCATTAATAAAATAAATTCGATCTCAGCTTACAAAATCAGCAATTCCACATTCAAATTGCATGCATTTACATGATTTTGCCCTAATCTAAGTTCGACTGTGATAAAGAGAGAGAAAATGCAGATACAGAGAGAATAAGAGTGTAGGCACACACATGTACATGCGTATTAAGTGAATTAGGGAAATGAATTTGGTTTTGCAGATTAAGGACATGACATTGAGGGCATCAGGGACATACCAGAAAACTCAATCTCAATCTCTCTCTCTTTCTCTCTCTGTGTGCAGCTAATCACCATGGCTCTTTTATTTCAAAACTCGCCTCAAATCGCATCACAGAGGGCTGCGACGATCCACACAACCCCTGCCGTCGCTGGTAGCTCAGTCATCGCATCACATGCCCTACGCCCCTGGTGGGGATGTCAAAGGCGGCGGAGTTTGTGATCTCAAAGGTGAACGATCTGGTGAACTGGGCACGCCGAGAGAGTTTAGAGTGTGTGCGTGTATGTGTGTGTGTGTGAGAGAGAGAGAGAGAGAGAGAGAGAGAGAGAGAGAGAATGAGGCCTGATTTCACAAAATCAAATTTCTCTGTAATATATGGGTGTGGGATTGAGGGACCTTAGACATCATAAAATAATATTGTGGATCTTTTTCATTACTAAAAATAGAAGAGGGACCTTAGACTAATTTTTCATTTTTAATATGCTTTTCTAAAAAGAATTAAAATTTAGTTGGTAAAAAAAAAATTAAATCAAACACTTATTTTCATATGATTTTTTTTGGAACATTAAATAATATTTAAAAATGCAAATATATATTTATATTTAGTTTTGTCAAGCTAATTTATATTTTTTTAAAAAAATAAATTTAAAATACAAATTCTAAAAATTCAATCAAATAAAAATATTTTGCAATTAAAAATTTTCCAACAATACCTTCATTAATGTTGGTGGGATTTTAATTTGTCCAATAAAAACTTCATAAATAATTGATCAGGTTCTCACTAGAACCGTTTAAAATAATATATATATAATATATATATTGGCTTTTATTTTATAATAGGGGAAAAAAACTTTTTTTTTTTTTTCATAAATCATTCGTACTTTTCAAAAAGAAAAAGAAAAACAAAAAACAAAAACAAAAACTGGGCTAAACTTCTTACAAATATATTAGATCTTTAACAAGTTTTCATCGTAACAATCCATTATAACGTGCGGTGCATGTTTGTTCACCTAACATTCCTAACACAAACATTGCACTTTTAAATCCAGGAAATATAAGTCAACTATCGACCGATTTTTAAAAAATTCATTAATGAATATATTAATAAATTAAAGGCGCAGCTTTCTTCTTATCAATTTTGATTGTAAATATAAAATAAAATTAAATGATTGCACCATTCTCCACACATACATCTAAGTGATGTCGACATCAAAATGTTATCTATTTTGAAAAAAATTATAAACTTCAAATTTTCTATCGAACAAATAGTTAAATATCTTACATAGATGTGGGGTTCGTAATTTTTATATCTCTAACAATATCCTATTTACAGCTGTAACTTTTGACTTGAACATATTCGATAACTCTTGAGATTCAATCATTAATATAAAATGATATCGAAAAGAAAGAATAAATGATATCAAAGTCCATCTTATTTCATTTATATCAGTCACTCACAAACTAGCACATTCTAAAGTTTTTTTTTTTCCTTTTGTTATTTTTTTATTTAATAATAAAACTAAATAAATTTCTCAAAAGGATAGATTGTGTCTTATTTTCACTATCAAGTTTTGCAAATTATAAGTTACAAAAATAATCAACATATATAGAGAGAGATATTCATCATCTTTATGCTTTTATTATTTAATTTACATTTACATGATCATTATCATCATTATTATCAAGTAGTAGAAATCAACAGCAATAAAACCAGAGATGATATTGTGTGCTTTAATTTTGATTGTGTTGAAACTTTTGTAAAGGTGTCTAAGTGGGTGTTTGGGTATCTATAGCTAGTAAGTCCATTCTTTTGAAGAAATATCTCTGGCGAGTTACTGCGGCTTCGTGAATGACACAATATTGAGGTTGAGATTGTTGAGCTGTTGCATCATCCTTATTTCCCTTTTATTCCTTGTTATGGCATTACGATCTGCCACTTCTTTTTGAGTCCTTATTTGTATCTACAGATTAAAAAATAATAAATAAATTATTCATTTCACTGAAAATCCTAGAGCAATCTCTCTCTCTCTCTCTCTCTAATAAATTTGAGTAAAAATTTGATTATAAAAGCTGATCTAATATGGAACACCCCAATCCATAGTCTCTCTCCTTTTTTTTTTTTGGTCAGATCTTTTTTCAGTAAAATCCTACAGCATCTCTCATTCTTAGGCCTCGTTGGGAACATGTTTATTTAGTAACTTTTTGGTTATTGGCTAAAATATTGAGCTAAAAAAAACTAGTATGTTTGGGATGATTTTTTCGTTTTTTACGAAAAGAATTGCAAAAAGTAGAGAGAAAAGAGAATCTTTGATTTTTGGTAGGGTTGTTGGCTTTTTGACTTTTTTTAGTAACTTTTTGATTTTTGGCTAAACCGACCGCTTACCCAAACGAGGCCTGATTCTCTTTTTTTAAATATATTTAAGTAAAAATTTAATTAAAAGCTTAATATGGTTAGGAACACTCCAATTCTTACTCTCTCTTTCTTCATCAACTTTTTTTTTGGAAATTTTCAAATATATCTTTAAAAACATGTTTTAACTGTTTTTGATAAGAAAATCAACTTCAACTCTTTATATATTTTTAAAATTTTATCAATTTTGATTAGACGTGTGATTGCTAAATATTTGGTGAAGAATTTGACTCATCTTTAAGTTGGTGAAAAATCTTCGAGCAAAGTCCCATCTTTATCCTTTTTTTTTAGTTTTAAGCTGAATGAAACACTCAAATCATTACTCTCTTTTTTCATCAATTTTTTTTGAAAATTTTCAAAATTAATTTAAAAAAATGTTTTTAACAATTTTTATGAAATAAAGCCATTTTTCAATCTTTATTTTTTTAAAATTTTTATTAAATTAAGTAAATTGGATTGTTAACAATTTTGGTGAAAAAATTGATGAATGATTAGAAATGAAAGAGATTTTTTTTTTTTTTTTTTTGATAGTGAAATGAAAGAGATATAGGATTAAAAAAACAAACTTGTGGTGGCTTGATTTGCAATCAAGTTCATGCACGTTGAGATTAAGGGCTTGTACCACACGTGAGGGGAGGAAACAGGAGAGCACCTGAAAATTGGATGAATTGAAAACTATTATTAAAAAAATGGTTATTGATATGAAGCTAAATACAACAAAATAAATAATATATTAAAAAAAAAATACTACACTTTTGGAACAATATATTATTTAGCACAATATATACTTTAATGCATTGTTATAGCAGCGTAATAGCAAATCTATAAAAACATATATATATATATATATATATATATATAATTTATTATGATAAAATAAGCACAAAAATATTACACGGCTACTAAAGATACTAAGATTTATAACTTCAATTTATATCATTTTAGTAGTTTTGAAATACCATGTGGATGGCGAAACTTGAACACACTTTGATCTATTGATATAAGAAAAAATTTATTAGATGTGAATAGCCTATCAGTAGCAATGCCATATGCATATGCAGGGTGGCCCAATACTCCTAGACCCTTAGGTGAAATTTCAAATGAGACTTTTTAAATATTAATTTAATAATCTTTATAAATTTTTGTATTTTTGTATTTCTAACATTTATTTTCCTTCTAAATCTATTTTAGTAAGAAAAAATGGATTTACTATTTTGCTAGACAATGAGGAATTTTTTTTTTGTTTGGCTTTTTACTAAGTTTTTATTTTATTTTTTTTTTTACTGGGCTATTTCGACAAAAAAATGTTTTCTTACTGGACCCATGAATAAGTAGAGATTTTTATTTTGTTACGCCATGGAAAAAATTTCTTTATTATTTTTGGGTTATTGAAGAAAGAGCTTTCTTTAATCCTTTAGATATGATTTTTTATGTAGTAAGGAATTTTTTCCTTATTAACGGAGCCTTTTAGCAAATATCAAAAAGAAATAAAATTTGGAACCTTTAAAAATATGGACTTAGGGCAAGCGCTCAATTCCCTGGGGAATGGGCTAAAGGCCATTTGATACTTCAAACAAATCCACTCCTATGTTATCAACAAAAAAGCATTGAACCAATCAAAATTTGAAAAGTAGTAATGTTTGTTTAGTTTTTTAAATTTTATTTTAAAAAATTAAAATTAGTTTCATAAAAATAAATAAAAGTTATTTTTATATAGTTTATTATTTTGGAAGGTAGAAATAATTTTTAAAAATCTAAAAATATATTTTGATGTTTATTTTTGTGAAACTAATTTCTTTTTCTTTTCTTTTTTATTTCAGAAAATTGTTGAGAAAACCAAACCAAACACTCCCCCGTCTCAAATACCTGGGCTTTTGTAGGGTGGAATGGAGAGCCAGCTTTGCGGGGAAGGAAAACGCCAGTGCCGCATGATCTTGTTTGGGCAGAAGAAGAAGAATCTAGAAACACTGCTTGCATTCCATTTCCAGCTCCCCAATTTCTTGGATTTCTGCTCCTTGATTTGGTTTTCCTCATGCTTACACTTTTGTTGCTGTTCATACAAACATAACATGATCCATTAATACAACAGTGTTATTTACTATCTGTTGAAGTTGATTACTAGTATAACCTTCTTTTTAATTAGCTTAGCCATTAAAGCTAGCAATAATCATGTGTCAATGACGGACACCAAATGCTCCGTTGTTAAGGGGAAAATATTTCTACGATTTTTTTTAAAATATGTTTTTTTGGACCATGTTCTAGTGATGGTGGTGATGATAATGAAAATAATGGATGTAGGTGATGATGGTAGAGTTTTTAAGTTTTTTATTTATTATATATTTTGAAGTTTTATCATCAAAATAAAGATGATTAAGCAAGTACCGGTAGTAGTGGTTCTGCAGCTAAGTCAGACGACCACCATTTTTGTTGGTGCCTCTGACTTCTCCAAATCTTCCTGCAGATTAAATTTTTAAAAAAAAAAAAAAATACATTATAAAAAATGTTATTACTGCAATAATCAAATCAGAGTGCTATGTATATCCAAAAAAATTTAATTTTTTTTTTTAAGTGAGAAGCAAAGAGCAAAACACATATAGCACTTTGCAAACTATTAATTAAGAATTTTTGTCAAATTATATATACAGTACACCTTGTTAGGTAGGAAAATATAGAAGTCCACGAACATGGAAACAATAACAAACAGCCCGATATGTCTGATTTTTTTTTTTTTTTTTTTTTTTTTGTGTGTGAAGAATTCACAAAAATTTTAAAAACTAAGCTTGTGTATGCCATTATATGATTTTCTTTTTGAAAAATGTTAATAATATCACACACTTCAATGTATTTTTCTGGAAATTAGAAACCTACCTGGATCATTCAAGTTAGAAGTGGACACGGGCAAAAATTCTAAATGCACATGATGCGATTGTAGAATAAGGATACAATTATCTCATATTTGATTTGTTGTCAGATTCTATACATATAAAATAGCTTTTATTGTTTATCAGCATATACAATCGGATCTGTCAATATGGTAATATATCAAAAACAAAATTAAATATATGTTAAAATATCAGTGTCGAAAGTTTAAAAATCACAATAAGTATTGCTCAACATCGGTATGTATGGCCGATATTTAAAACTTATAGAAAAGAAGTTGAAAATGAAGAAAGAGCGTACCTTGAAATGGCATGCCACATGTGTTGGAAGCCAGGACATTCCTTCTTCAAAACCAACTTCAAACCATCTTCAGCCATTGAAGTACTTTCTCCAACTTGAAGAGAGAGCGAGAGAGAGAGGGATCCTTGTGTTATTTCTTCTTGTTGTAGAAATGGGGATGATAAGAGAGGGTGTCGAGTTCCAACTTTCAAACCTGCAACAATAACTAATTTATAGTTACGTGGAGAGTTAGGATGATGCTTGTTATACTTGACCTGATCCTTTTACAATATTACGCAATTTGGATTTGATGAGTTGATAAAAAAAGCATCCAACAACGTACATTGTCACTTCTCATTCAGTTCTTTGTTGAAGAATTGGGTATATATGGCCGGTTTTAGTCATAATTTTTAAAATAATTATTTTAAAACAATAAACCAATTATAACGATTCCATGTAGGTAAGTGATTACAGATATATAATATTTTTGAATTTTTTTGGTATATTGGAAACCGCTATATTAATTTATTGAAGTTGAGAAATTGCTAAAACATCATCGATTTTTATCATTATTTTGTATCACCAGCGGAAGGGGCTAAATATGAAATGGGTCGGGTCCAAGCCTTGGGCCGGCCCAACTCACTGGAAGTTCGAAATCCAAGTGGTTGTTGAGACGTATATGGACAAACCAATTAAGCCCAACTTCATTGACAACAGTCCACCCAGGTTCTCAAGCACTTAGGCGCCCAACCCAACAATGGAAGCATCCAGCCGGTGCTGGGGCTGCGGCCGAGCTGCGAGACTGAAACCTATAGGCGAGCAGAAAATTGGCCGAGCCCATACAAAGATATCCGAATGGATCAGCCCACTCCATGAATGACCTATTAAAAGGACGCAAGACAAGCATAATGATGCCTGAGCTTGAGGGCCACAGTTGACGAGCTGAGGAAACCTCGTAAGGAAACGTGCGAAGTTGTGAATGTGCATGGCAAGTTGCCACCTCAGCTGGTCCCCTATACCTAGAATCACGGAAGTTATTGAATCAAAGGAATGTGGTTTTTATCAGCATGACTACAATGAGTATATGCATTCAAATGACAACTACCAGGTGATCCCCCACCTTTTGAGCAATGCTTAAAAGACACCTGGCAGGCATCCCAAACTTCCACTGAACCCACCTTCGAGAAGCAAGCAAGGAACACTATATATACAACATTTGAACTTCACATGAAGGTAACTGAACTATTCCAAGCAAACATACATAGAGATAGATCAACTCTATATGCACTTCTTCTCCGATCACTAATTTCCCACACCGGAGGGTTATCTGGCCAATCCCGCAGGGCAGCTCTAACGGTGCTTCTTTTTTTTTCTTTTATTCTTTTTTTGTGGTAGAAACCTCAGTCCTAGATAGTCCAACCGAGTGCAGCCCTGAGTCCACTTTCATCTAGTGCGGAAATCCATAACGCCAAACAATTGGTGCGGTGATAACGTGGAATCACTTCATCCTGAGCTCTGCACTCAGTTCCGGCGATAGGGATTGAGGACCATCCGCCTTCGGGCACACATACTCCACAGGACGGAGAAAACGAAGGACAAAGGTTTGGGCATCCCCAACAGTCCCAGAGGAACAAACTAGAAACAATAATCGAAACCCCCCCCCGGAAATTCGGGGTTCGAAAGGGGGGGGGGGGGGGGGCGGGCCCCCCCCAAAAACCGGGGAACTTTTTTTAAAAAAAAACCCCCCTTTTCGTTGGAGTTCCTTCTCATCACTTCTTCTGGAAAAGGATTATAGAGACGAATTATAGACTCCATTAGGGATGGAGATACAGGAGTAAAAGCCGAAATTAAAAGGGTGCTGGGCGATCGACGGAAAGAAGACAAGAAGCGAAGCCCTCTCGTTTGCGACGGAGGAGCTCATCCAAAAGAGCCACCAGTGAGAAGTTCCCAGGAATGAGCTGGGCAACAAAAGCCAGCCTATCCCCAGACAGAGTGAGGCAGCAAGCAGTCACACCCGTGGGTCACGCCGGGAAGGCCAAGGGCAGAAGACAGTTAGCCAACAGACTGAATAACCCCCTCAGGACCTTCGACTTGGTTAATTTGGCAATAGGCCAGAACGAACAACATTCGGGATCACCTAGACCGTACTGTTCACCAGCGAGAACACGAGCGCTGGACAGGTTCGTCTCTTTGCCATTCTCCCCGGAGATTGAACAGAGACCAACCAAAGAAATTCATCCATCAAATTTCACTTCATACGACGGAAAGTCGGACCCGCTGGACACATATTAGCCATTATAGACAAATTGATGTCACTATGGAACCGAGATGAGGCACTGATGTGTAAAGTCTTCCCATCAGCTAGGAGAAACTGGACTTCGATGGTTCCGTATCGTCTCCCCGCTGGATCGACCATGACTTTGGAAAAAAACCAGCTCTCGAAGAGTTCCTAGCCAGGTTCGTCTCTAACACTTAAGATCCTAAAGGAGCCGGATACACTGTTCGGTCTCCGAAAGGAGCAGGCAGGAAACGCTGCGCAGATTATGTTTTAGAAAGGTCTGGGAGAGTACAATGACCTGCAGGAAAATGCTGCAGCGAGCCAGATGCCGTTATTGCCTTCAAACGATGGTCTGCCGCCCGCGAAAGTAAGCTGAGACAATCACTTACAAGCGCCCGGCCACAGCTTTGAAAGATTTACGTGCCTAGGATTGAGCAGTAGCTCGCCTCGAAGACGATTAAATCCCCATCGAGGTTAGGGTCAATAGAACAAATAACTCGTCACAAAAAAAGATCAGATCGAGGAGAACCATCGAGGGA